AAAAAAAAAAAATGATACATAAATACTTTATAGCCATTTTGTTTCAGATGGAAGGTACATGTGCCTGCATTTGTCTCTCTGGGTATGGGGCCAAGGTCCCTTAAGTGTTGGCCACTGGTTAATTTCTGTGCTGACTTTGTGAATCTCACCCAAACATGTGGTCTGAACAAGCATCAGTTCTTTCATAGTGGAGTGAAATATAAAGGCAGCTGGAATGCAGAACTTTTTTTTTTTTTTTTTAAAGATTTGTTTGTGTATTTCAGGGATAGAGAGCTTGAGCCAGCAGGGGGCGGGGCAGAGGGAGAGAGTGAATCCCCAAGCTGACTCCCTGGCGCAGGGCTCGATCTCATGACCCTGAGATCACAACCTGAGCTGAAATCAAAAGTCGGCCGCTCAACCGACTGAGCCACCCAGGTGCCCCTGGATTGCAGAATTCTTGTAGATTGGTAGGTCTCACCCACCTAACCCAGACAGCAGCTTCTTTGTTTTTTTTGTTGGTTTGATTGGTTTTTTTTGTTGTTTTTTTTGTTTTGTTTTTAACCTTTCAACTTCATGAGGTCCTTGGAGAGCATTTGACTTAGTTTTTATACAAACAGCTTTTTTCCCCACTTACGTTGCACGGGTGTGTGCAGCACTTGCGCATGACAGAAACGGGCAGCTGGGCTGCCCACGGTGAGCCGGGGGCAGAGAAGGTGCTGGCGGGTTGGCGGCAGGCCGCGAGCATGTGGCCACGTAGGAGCCGCTGGCCGCACTGACAAGACCGGACCCTGTCCTTCCTGCAGGCCACAGGCAGCATCCCCATCACAGTGCGGCACATCGAGTCCATGATCCGCATGGCAGAGGCCCATGCGCGCATCCACCTGCGGGACTACGTGATCGAGGATGATGTCAGCATGGCCATCCGCGTGATGCTGGAGAGCTTCATTGACACGCAAAAGTTCAGCGTCATGCGCAGCATGAGGAAGGTGTGTGGGAGCTGTGTGGCGGCCACGGCGGGCATCCCGAGGCTCTGGATCCGGGCTCTGCTATCCTGCCTGGCTGCTCGGGCAGGTCGTGACGGGAGCGTGGCGGGGACTGGTCATCCTGTAGTAGCCTTGAGGGTCCTGGTGAGGAAGGGCGTCATTTGACTGTGGCTATTCCCTGCAGACTTTTGCCCGCTACCTTTCATTCCGGCGTGACAACAATGAGCTGCTGCTCTTCATCCTGAAGCAGTTAGTGGCAGAACAGGTGACGTACCAGCGCAACCGCTTTGGGGCCCAGCAGGACACTATCGAAGTGCCTGAGAAGGACTTGGTGGACAAGGTATGGGCACAGATGGGAGGCGGGCTGCTCTTTGGGGAGCTGTCCGGCGTCTGTGGGGCCAAGAAGTCCTTGCTCCATCATTAAGCGGGCAGGCCTCGGATGGGAGCCATGTATGAAGTGTTCATGATGCGCTGAGCCCCGTTCTGTGCAGTTACACTCGACTATGGTGAGTTCTGTTACTGCCATCCCGTCTCACAGAGGAGACAGACACAGGCAACTGGCAGAGCTAAGCTTTCAAGCCCTGTGTCCCGACTCCAGACCCCGACTCAGTTTACCGCCCCCATGAATGGGCCTTAGACGTTGCACCGTGCAGAGGCTCTGCGGCAGACCAGTGGAAGCTCAATTTCGTGGCTCACTTGACGTTTTCTCTTTTCAGGCTCGTCAGATCAACATCCACAACCTGTCTGCTTTTTATGACAGTGAGCTCTTCAGGATGAACAGGTTCAGTCATGACCTGAAACGGAAAATGATCCTCCAGCAGTTCTGAGGCTCGGGGCCATCCACAGTAGCTCGCTGAGATGCTGGTGGGGCTGACTCCACACTCTCAGGCTCACAAAACCCAACTGCTGAGGGATTCGGAGAGGGCGTGCGGGTCCCAGGGCTGAACCATCTAGCTCCCCCCACCGTTTGCTGGGCTCAGGCTGGGCTGGGAACGAGGCTGTTTCTTTCTTCAGCTCCACTTACTGCTCCTCATGCCATCTTGGGTGGGCTCGCTTTGCCAGTGTTCCTCTTTCCCCTGCTTGGCAGCCCACCGCCTACGGAAGGTTGGTCTCCACTTTGTTCCTTGGACCAGAGTCCCTTGTGTTCAGGGTACTGCGGTCCGTTTTAGATGACCGAGCATATGAGGGTGTTACGAGAACTTGTTGCCCTCTTGGTGTGAGTTCCGGTCCTGGATGCTTCTACCGCTTTGGCCGAAGAGCAAGTTCAAGGTATTCGTAGTGTTTTTCTGAACTCTGTCCTGCAGGTTTCTCTGGGATTCTGTGAGTAGAGAAAATGTGGGCAGAAGAGCACACATGTGGCCCAGTGCCCTCCCCACCCCCAAGGCCAGGGATTGCTGTGGTCGCGAGATGGGAATGAGGCTTATTCTTGGTACCAGTTGTGCCTAGCAAGGACTGGTTGTCACCATTGCTGTGCTCCTTTGTTTTCTCCTGCTAGCCACTCCCCGTCCTCTCGTTGTACATTCAGTTTTTGTTCCTGTAGTTTTTATTTTTAATAAAATCTAAATAATGGTGGCTGTTGGTCTGAATTATATCTTCATGTCATCACACAGGCTCTCCAGCACTCCCCTTGAAGGCCTTTCCCATCTTCCGTTTTTGGTGTTTGTTGGAGGTAGATTTGTCTGTAAGAGCTATCTTGTTTGTGGGTGTGCAAAAAGCAAAAATGGTGTGGCTTTGCCTAGGGAATTCAGTTGGCAGTTGCTGCCTCTGTGACGTCTATGGAATCTATGAGAACCAGCGAACAACTGACTTGTACACCTGGAGGAACTGGAGGTAATCTGGCCCTGCCTCCAAACGGAGCCGTGTTGTTCATCTCCACAGCATCGCCATCTGGCCTCTGCCTGGAAATGCCCAGCTCTGCTCAGCTGCCCTTGGGTTGGGTGGACACCTACAGTTCTTAGTGTTTCTTACCTGAGATGAAGCAGAAATGTCTCCTTACAGCTTCTCTCTTGTCCAAAATGTCCTTTCTGGAAACTTCCAGGATGAGTCCTTCCTGTGAAAGTCCTGCAGATGTTTGATGAACCTCGTATGTTTGATTTCCTTATTCAGTTCCTTGCACATATCCTGGGGAGTCCAATAAGGGGAAGGCCCTGAGGAATGTGGGGAGATCTCTAAGAAAGCAGTCAAGTACTGGGAAACTGAATGGGGGACAAGAGGGATGAGGAAGTGGCCCTTGTAAAGGTGAGATCTTTAGGAAAAAGAATGGGAAAGAGCCAGCCCCAAGGAAAGAGCAGTCCGTGTGGCTGAAGCTTGAGGGGTGGAAGGGAGGAGCTGGGGCAAGAGTTGGGCCTTGCAGTTGCGGCCTGAAAGGAAAGATTTTCTTTACACAGAGCATTTCTGACACCAGATGTGTGAGTTCTCCACGCCACTCAATTCACTTTACAGTCACACACTGGGTGGCCCACAATTTTTTTTTTTTAAGGTTGTTTGAGAGAGTGCTTGAGCAAGGGGGAGGGACAGAGGGAGAGGGAGAAGCAAACTCCCCAGGGAGCAGGGAGCCCCAGATGGACGTGGGACTGGATCCCAGGACCCCTGAGATCATGGCCTAAGCCAAAGGCAGACGCTTAACCGACAGCCCTCCAGGTGCCCCTGGGTGTCCGACAATGTAAGGCAGCTCTGACACGACTTGGAATCAGCATGCAGACCCCACAGGGTAAGGGCTCAGTCCACAGAACTGCACCCACTTCAGACACTGATTGCAAGTAGTGGGACCCCAGGTCTCCCACACTTAGGTCCAACTTGCCTGCAAATCAGATTCCCATGACCCCCTCCTCAGGTTTGATAATTTGCTGTAACAGCTCACAGAGCCCAGGGCAGCAGCTGACTTGCTGTGACCGACTTGCTACATACTGAGGGATACAAATGATCAGTCAGATGGAGAGAGACATAGGGCGGGTCCCAAAGAGTCCTGTGTGCAGGAGCTTCTGTCCCTGTGGAGTTTGGGGTGCGCCATCCTCCTGGCACATAGCTGTGTTCTTGTTCACCAACCCAGAAGATCCTTGAACCCCTTCAGTTAGGGGTTTTTCTGGAGGCTTCATTACATAGGCATGATGATTAAATCATTGGCCATTAGTGATTAGCTCAACCTCTAGCCCTCCCCTCCCCAGAGGTCAGGGGCTGGGGCTGAAAGTTCCAATCCTTTAATTCCAGGGTTGGTTCCCATAGCAACCAGCCCTCATCCTTAGGGGTTTTCCAAAAGTCACCTCCTTAAGCTCTGGTGTAGTTGAAAGGGCTTGTTAGGAATAAGTAAAGACATTCTTTTCACTTTTGAAGAGATCTAATTTTTTTTCATTGAGATATAATTGACATATAACCTATTAGTTTCAAATGTACAGCGTAATGATTTGATCTTTGTACGTGTTGCAAAGTGATCACAGTAAGTCTAGTTAACATCCATCACCCCACATAGCTACAGATATTTTTCTTTTCTTTTTTTTTTTTTTTTTAAGATTTTATTTATTTATTTGACAGAGAGAGACACAGCAAGAGAAAACACAAGAAGGGGGAGTGGGAGAGGGAGAAGCAGGCTTCCCGCCAAGCAAGGAGCCCGATGAGGGGCTCGATCCCAGGACCCTGGGATCATGACCTGAGCCAAAGGCAGACGCCCAACGACCGAGCCACCCAGGCGCCCCTCAGCTACAGATATTTTTCTTGTGATGAGAAATTTTAAAGACTTTCTTACCCTTAGCAACATTAAAATCTACCATCCAGCACTGTTAACTACAGTCACCATGCTGTACTGTATATTCTTACAATGCTACCCAACAATATCACATAGACCTAATAAGGGCTTGAGTCTGATTGCAGGAGCCAGCCCTTGAAGGGTGGTAAGCAGGGGAGTAACAGGGTTCGGCGTGTATTACAGGAGCTCCTGGCCCGTGTCAACTGCAGGAAGAAAGGAGGAAGAGGGGAGTAGAAGGCTCTGGTGCCGCCTGCAGATGGCAGTGGTCTAAACTAGGGGGCAGGGGAAGGTGGATGCAGTTTAGATGGATTTTGCAATTTCAGCAAAATTCAGTGATGGATAAGAAGTGGGAGTGGGAGAAAAGAAGAAACTGGATAATGGTAACCAGGTTTCTAGCTTGAGAAACAGGTTGAGGTTTAGTGGGGGGAATCAGGAGCTTCACTGTGGGTGTATTGGCTAGAAATGCCTTGTAGACATTAAGTAGCAGTGTGAACTTTGCAGGCAGATTTGAGCCTGGACTGCTGATAGAGTTTCGGGCATGAGCTATAATCATCTGACAGCCGTCACAGTGGGCTGGGTGTAATCATCCAGCAGAGCGCAATGAGAAATGAGCACTGAAGGAGACTTGAGGGCCCATTATCTGAACCAGCAAAGGACACTTAGGAGTGGGCAGAAGGCGGGAGGAAAATGAAGGGAGGGGTGCTTATGGAAGCCAGAAGAAAACAATTCAGGAAGGTTGAGGTCAGTTGGGGCCAACAGCTGTAAGTTCAGGTAAAATGACAAGCCTGTCCACCGTACTAAGTTTCATTGCTTCTAAGATGCCATCTACTATAAAAATCACCATTATTTTATGTGCTGCTAAGACAAAAATGCTAACATTTAGAATGATTAGATGCCATCAACCATAACACATCCCAGCTTAGAGATGCTGGGGAATTGTTTCAGAAACGCATCTTCAGTGGAAATGGGGTATTTGTAGTAACATGGAGGCTGGTGGTGACCTTGATGGGCACTGTTCATAGAATAAGGGGGAGGTAAGTGGTAAGGCAATAGAAGTTGCATATCTAGAAAAGTCTTGAAAAGTTTGGCTTTGAAGGGGCAGCAGGGAAATGGGCAGCTGTCAAGGTGTATAGGATTAAGGGAGTTTATGTATTTTAGAACTGGATAATCAAAACTTGTATTCATGCAATAAGAGTTTACTAATGGATTAATCTGAAAGATAACTGAGTGAAAAAATAAGATGTCAAAAGATGTGATCCCAAATACATAAAATTTAAAAGTATACTGATACTACATACTGTTAATGTGTGTGCATGTGTTAAAGATAATAAAAAGCAGGGGTTCCTGGGTGGCTCACTCTGTTAAGTGTCCGAGCCGAAATCATGATCTCAGAGTCATGAGATCGAGACCTATGTTGGGCTCTATGCTCAGCATGGAGTCTGTTTGAGATTCTCTCCCCCTGCCCCTCCCCTCTCCCCTGATCGCGCGTGCTCTCTCAAAAAAAAAAAAAAAAAGATAATACAAAGTGTATGCTTATGTTCTTGTGTTTTTTTACATAACAGGTTTATTGAGATAGAATTTATATACCATATGATTTAAAATGTACAATCCAGTGGTGTTAACATATTTAGAGTTGTACAACCATCATCACAATCAATTTTAGAACATATTCATCACCTCCCCAAAACCCATACTGAGCTACCCAGGCACCCATGCTGAACTCTTATTAAATGTTTTCAATTAGTGTTTCTGTTGATTGTCTTGCATTTTCTCAGTACACTTGCAAATAATTAGTTTTACCAAATTTTCCCCAATATTTTTAATCCATTTCCTTTATCATGCCTTATTGGATTGTCTCTTACTTACAAATCCTCAATATTTGTGTTAGTAATGATTATCCTTTCCTTATTCCTCACTTAAATGGGAATGCCTCTGATGCTTCTTCATTAAGTTTGGTGATTGCTGTAGGTTTCTGGGAGATATGCTTTTTGAATGAAAGAAGTTTCCTTCTATTTTTTGTTTACTTCTTAAGTTTTTGTTTGTTCCTTTTAAAAGGAGTAGGTTTTAAGTCTTATCACATGCCCCTTTTGGGGTGGCTCAGTTGTTTGAGTGTCCAACTCTTGGTTTCAGCTCAGGTCATGATATCATGGTTCATGGGTTTGAGCCCCATGTCAGGCTCTGCACTTGGCAGCGTGTCTGCTTGGAGATTCTCTCCCTCTGGCCCTCCCCCTGCTCTCTCTCTCTAACAAATAAATAATTTTTTAAAAAAGAGTTCAGCAAGATTTCTGGATACAAGATACATACAGAAATCAATAACTTTATATGTATCATCAATAACCAGTTAGAAAAATAGGAGGAGGAAAGATCCCATTCACAACAAAATCTCTTGAGATTTTTTTTTTTTTCTTGACTTTCTTAATGCAGAGAACTATATTAGTGACTTTTGCTAATACTCAACCAATCTTATGTCCCTGGGTTAAGCCCTATTTAATCATAATATATTTTTAGTACATTGCTGCAATCAACTTGCTTATATTTTCTTTATGCAAGTTGCATCTGTGTTAAGGAAGGTTGGCTTAGGGTTTTTTCTATTTGTATTCTTAGTTGGTTTTGGCATTGGGGTTACACAAACCTCATAAAGTAAACTGGGACACTTTCTAACTTTGCTTTATAAGAGTTTATACATTGAAGGTTTGACAGAATACACTCATTCCAAAGGGGGCTTATGTCTTTCTTAAGGGTTGATTTTTTACTGTCTTTTAATTTTCTCCACTGTTATTTGTTTGTTTAGCTTTTCCACTATTTGAATCAATTTCAGTAATTTGTTCCTTAAAAGTATTCAATTATACTTTAAGTTAAATATCAAGTTTTGCTTATAATTTTGAAATCTTATTTCTAGTTTTGTTCCCTTTTTCATTCCTAATGGTATTTACTTATGTATATATTATTTACTTATTATATATTTACTCTATATTATATTATATTATATTTACTCATATATTATTTACTTATGTCTTCTCTTTTTTATCTTATACTAAAGCTTTGACTGTTTTATTTATCTTTTCAAATAATAGGCTTTTAGCAATCAGTTCTACTGGGTTTTTGTTATTTTAACAACAATAGAAATTTATTGATTCCTGTGGGGTGTGTGTTTTTGTGTAGTTTAAAGCTTCTTAAATTGAATTCTTAGTTCATTTACATTTAGTACATTTACATTTAACCTGTGTTTTTTTCCCCTAACAAATGCATTTACAGCTATAAAACCTCTGTGAATTGTTGGCTATATCCTATGGATTTTGATGTGCAGTGTTCTCACATCGTCATTAATTTCTAAATAGACTAAAAATTTATATTGTGATTTACTCTTTAACCTAAGATTATTTAGACAGGTATGCATTTTGGGTTGTGGTTTCCTCCATCAATTAAATCTCACTTCCTTTTTATCTTCCAAGCATTTCTTCCTCATTTTAGACCACCAATTGATCCCATCTTGTTTTCTAGTGCTGTTTTGGACTTAGGTGTATATATTTATCTTTCCTATCATTTCTAGGAATCAAGAACAAGAGGGGAAAGCAGGAACATGTATTCAGTGTACCAGCAGCATGATTTCATATCCCTCAATTTTTTTCTTTTTTCTTTTCTTTTTTTTTTTAAGGTGGAGGTTCTGGATCACATTTGTATCTAATGAAAATGATCCAGAGAAAGAAAAACTGACACTGTCAGAAAAGGGATACCTTAATATGGAAGTCCTTGAAGAGGAGATAAAGAATGCAATGACGGAGGAGACTGGCCAGTGATAAAGCAGGGATGTTTCCTTCATTGTAACAGAGGAAAGGAGATAGATGACAGGTCTAGATGCACCCTAGTTTTCTCTTTTCCAAGTCAAATACTCCTAGTTTTAACAGTTGGTTTTCTGGATTTCTGGATCTTTCTGGATTTCTCTTCTGTTACTTGGTTCTTCCTAAAAACGAAAAGGTTATTATGAAAATATAATGTTAATGAAGTTCAAACAGTTCAGAATAATAGGATTATTAACTTCCTTGTTCTGGATACTGTACTCATTTTAAATCCAAAATTGCTTTACACTTTGCAACCATTACCTATTTGTGGGCTTTTTGTATGAACTGCTTTTTTTTTTTTTAATATTTTATTTATTTATTTGACAGAGTGAGAGAGGGGGAAAGAGAGAGAGCGCGCACAAGCAGGGGGAGCGGCAGGCAGAGAGAGAGAGAGCGGGAAAGGGAGAAGCAGGCTCCCCTGCTGAGTAGAGAGCCCCACATGGGGCTCAATCCCAGGACCCTGGGATCATGACCTGAGCCAAAGGCAGATGTTTAACTGACTGAGCCACCCGGGCACCCCTGTATGAACTGTTATAAATTAGGTCTCCTTTAATTTGTACTTGCATAGAAAATAGCACCCCAAAACACAGTCAACATGACTCAATTCAGTCATTCTCCAAGTCCTGTTGGTTGCCTCTGGAGTGTTTTCTCAAATCTGCTATGCCAGCCCTAAGTCAGACTTCTACCATCTGCCACTGAGACTACTGCAGCATTCTCTCCACTGGCCATTTTGCTCTTCCTCCCTGCTGCCCTCAGAATTCTCTAAAATACATGCCTTCTGTTCCTACAGAAGAAATGGAAGCCCAAACTTATGATGTTCAAGATCTTTTACTATCAGGTCCTCACCTACTTTTCTAGAGCCCATCATGTCCATTGACTCAAATGGCCTATGGAGTTTAAATTGACCATGGGCTAAATAAAATGATGTAGTCCTGTTAATTAAATGAGAATATCTTTACCTAAAGTTTCTAATTTTATGGTACTGCTTTTTATTATATTCTTAGACCAGTCACTTTCTCCTTGTGTTTCACTTCCTCATTTATAACGTGAGGGCTTACTACTTTGTACAGATTAACCAAGAACTCATCAAGATATTTAGCTCGTAAGTCATCTTTCTAATCTTGTCTCCTGACCCCATGCTAATCATGAAACTCATTATCCCCCTAAGTATGATATGCTATCTATTACCATACTGTGCTACATTTTCTTCATGTTCTTTCCTTTGCCTGGGATCCATTTCTGCCCTATCCCTCTCCTCCCCAACTCCTATTTCTCCTAAGTATTTAGGAGAGTCCTTTGGGATCATCTACAATACCTAGTGATATACCCTTAGACAGAGGGATGAGAATATAATTTGAAAAAGCAGGTTCAATATAATAATTTATTTTAAAGCAATGTTTTCCGAGTATACTACATATAAAGTAAAACTCCAGGAAATTATCGCTGCTGTAGATGTTTAAATTTCACTTATCCCCAAAGGGTCAGGACTTTTCTCTGTTCCTTAAAGAGGCTGAGCTCCATCCTAACTCAGCAATTACTAATGCAATTTTCTCTCTGCTTGGAAGATTCTCTCCCTAACCTGACTTCCTACCTAATACTCATTCATCCATCCAGGTGCCAGCTTAAATGTCGTTTCTTCAGGAAGGCATGTGTAAAGGTTCTCTTCTGTACTGTCTCATATTCCTTTATACTTCTTAACAGACCTTACTACAATTTAATCATGCAATCATATGTATGTCGTGTTGGTCTTCTTTAGGTTTGTCTTCTCCACTAGACTAAGCTCTGAGGATAAGGGTTGTGGCTGTTTTGTTCACTACCATGGTGCCTGGCACATGAATGAACTTTCGTCGCCAAAAGGGATCAAACACTTTACAAAAGTTAAGAAACAGTGCTCTGATAATGGAAAGCCCATATATAACAGTTGAGGCAACCAAGGCGCAAAGGAGAGCTTGCCCAGCTCAAGTGCCCTTGAGAAGCCTTCTCTGACCCCATTCCTCCTAGAGTCCCCATTCAACCTCTTGATGTAGGATTAAAGACACTCTTCGTGTCAACAGAGTCAGGGGTCACTCCTGTTTTCTCTGATCAGTGTCCTTCCATGCAAGTGACCACCCGTGGCCTTTTGGGCGCTCAGGAAATGTTTCCTGTGGAATGGATGACTAGATGGCTCCTGCGTGCCCTCCTGCTTCGCTGCACCTCGGGCAGGTGGCCTCTGCTCCCGAAGCCGCGAGGTGCGAGGCCCGGACCTCCAGGTGGTTGTGGTCGCGGCCCCGCCCCTCCAGGCCTCTGCGGTGCTGATTGGCCGGCTGGGCGCCAGGGACGAAGCGGAGGGGCAGCCG